TAATACGGTTGATGCCACCAGAGGAGATTTCTCCAGTCAGTCCGCTCGCTGCTCCTCTCCGCTTCAAATATGATGAACATTAAAAAAAGTTCTGTAATTTATTTATCTATCAACACAATTTAAAATTAGATGTATAACCTGAAGTCTGTAATTTTGACACAATTTGGAACAGATTTTTACGAAGACCAAATCTTTCCCACTAAATTGATCATGTGACCAGGTCATGTGACCAGGACATGTGACCAGGACATGTGACCAGGACATGTGACCAGGACATGTGACCAGGACATGAGGGTGTCCAGGGGATTAATTGTCAAATTAATCGTTGTTGGCTAAATACTTCAATTAATCGTGATTATATCGCCTCTGAAATTCCTTAAAAGCCTTTTTGACATTTTTTATTTTATATAATGTTGCCATGCTAAAGGTAAGAACAGGGATAGTCTGACACTCTGATTGGGTGAAGAAGAAAAATCCCAGTAAGATGTGGAAAGGCTTAAAGGCAGAAACCACACTGTATTTGTCCACTGGTGGAACAAAGTCTGTTAATTAATCATTTTACATTAGTGTTGCTTCATTTACAAGCTTTGAGTTTCTCAGTTTTACACTCAGCCTACCTGTTTTCATTCTGGTCATGCTGATTTAAAAACTAAAAGCAGGTGCGCTTTTTAGAACAACAGGTCATCAGATAACTGGTTTTAATCAGTTGAACTTTTGACCACTTTAAAACGTTAGCATTTGGTCATGCCTGAAATTACCAAGTAGGAAGCTKACAGAGACCTTACTGTAGGAAACCACTTAGACAATGTTTTATTTGTTGCACATGTTTCTAAGGATTATTAATGCAAGGTAAATATTAGTCAAAAATGTAATAAATAAATGTGTGCATGTCGACCATATGCTGCCCTGATTTCTATTAGGATTGGGAAAAATCATCTCTTGTGTAATTAAACCTAATAAAAACTGTCACCAGTTAAAATGTGAGCTCATGACATTTTGTGTTCCTGAACATCTGCTGCCACTCTAAATAAAGTTTACTGTTTTACCTCTTACAATGAACAGGTTAGTTCAACTGATGATTTTTAAAGAAAACACGTGGAGTCAAAAACATGCAAGTGCAGTTATCTATTAATCATGATATTAATCATTATTGACTAAATGGCATAATTAATCATGATAAAAAAAATTGCCAGTGTCACCCAAACCTAATTTCTCCTGAATCTGACCTAAAAAATAATAAAAAACTCATCAACTGACTGCTGGTGTTCACAGATACACCTCCTGAAGTGTCCAGTTTTACACAGACTCGTGACAGGACATAGTCAAAAAGATTAATCTTGTTTTTACTTTCAAAACTCACAAATAGGGCAAAGAAATAGGGCTGCCACGATTAATCGATTAATCGACGACTAATCGATTATTAAAATAATCGATGACTAATTTAATAATCGATTAATCGTTTTCTTTCTTTTTT